GCAGTTGTAGGCAGGGGCTTCTTCCTAGCAGACACGCTGGGCTTCTGCAGAAATCCAGCCTGCAGATCAGGGAGAGCAGCGATCCAGCCCCGCTGTGTGCAGACTCAGGGAGTGGCTCCTGCGTGTCCCTGCCCTCCCTGGCCCTCAGTTTCCCTCTCTGGTTCTTGGATTTCTCTTCTCCGCTACAGGCACATAGGGCAACCCAACGAAGCACTGAAGTTCCTAAACAAAGCGCGCAAGGACAGCACTTGGGGCCAGAGTGCCACCTACTACATGGTGCAGATCTGTCTGAACCCAGACAACGAGATCGTGGGCGGAGAGGTTTTTGAGAACCTGGTGGCTGAGAGCAAGTAGGGGCCCGGCTGACCTGGGGGCGGGGGCGCAGGGGCAGGACCCTGGGAAAGGCGGGGAGAGCCACGCGCGGCGAGGTCCAGGCCGAGTGAGGGCCCCGCGGTTCCCGGGTTCCGGTGTCCAACGGCCGCAGCTCCACCGACAGGAAGGACTCAGAGCAGCACGGCGTGCGCACCGCGGAGAAGCTGCTGCGTGAGTTCTACCCGCGCTCGGCCTGGGGCCAGACCCAGCTGCGGCTCCTGCAGAACCTCTGCCTGCTGGCCACCCGGGAGAAGGCCAACGTGGAGGCGGCGCTGGGCACCTTCATCGAGATGGCGCAGGTTGAGGTGGGCCGGCGCGCGGGGCGGGCGGCGGGGGGCGAGGCTGGGGGCCCGGCGCGCCGACGCCCGCTCCCACCCCCCCACCCCCGCCCCGTGTGCAGAAGGACAGCGTACCCGCCCTGCTGGCCACGGCACAGGCCTACGCGCTGCTGAAGCAGGTCCCCAAGGCGCGCACGCAGCTGAAGCGTCTGGCCAAGGCCCCGTGGGCGCTGGGCGAGGCGCAGGATCTGGAGAAGAGCTGGCTCCTCCTGGCTGACCTTTACTGCCAGGGCGGCAAGTTCGACCTGGCCACCGAGCTGCTGCGGCGCTGCATGCAATACAACAAGGCAGGGGGCGCGCTGCCGTCGGGGAGGGGGGACGCCAGGTGGAGGCGGGGCGCAAGGGGCGCGTGGACGTCGGGGGCAGAGGAGGTGCGGGTTGGAACCCGCTGAGAAGAGGCCGGACAAAAGGGGGGCATATGCACGCTAGAGCAAGATGGGAACGGGGGCCCGGGGGCAGGTGGGGGTAGGGGGACGGGGCAAGGCAAGAGGAGGCTCACCGGGTCGGGCAGCCAAGAGAGATGGGAAGGGTTCAGGGGGTCGAGGGGCGTGGGGGTCAGAGCAGGAGGGCTGTGGGGAAAGGGGTCATGCACGCGTCGGGGTAGCCTAGAGGGGGAGAAAAGTTGACCCCTTGCAAAGGTGGGAGATGCTGCTGGAGTCCCTGAGAGGTTCAAGTTAATGCGGCTCACCACCCTCCTTTGACCCCCCCCTCCCCCGCGGGTTGTACCCTGTGCTGGGACCGGGTGTGGCTTTCCCTACAGTCCTGCTGCAAGGCCTATGAGTACATGGGCTTCATCATGGAGAAGGAGCAGTCCTACAAAGACGCAGCCACCAACTACGAGCTGGCCTGGAAGTACAGTCATCGTGCCAGCCCTGCCATTGGTAAGGCCAGCAGCCGCGGTGCATGTGGGCGAGGAGGGACATGGGCAGGCGGCCCACTACCCTGGCTCTTGGGTAGTTAGGGTGCCACTGTCTGTGTTCCCTGTGCCCCTGGACAGGCTTCAAACTCGCTTTCAACTATTTGAAGGACAAGAGATTTGTGGAGGCCATTGAAGTCTGCCACCATGTAAGCCCCTGGGAGACATTGAGGGTGGGGGTAGGGGGCTGGGTGAAGTGACTTGGTCCTGGGGCAGGGACAGACACCCCTGGCCTGACGCTGCACCCCCTTTCTCCCTCTGCCCCAGGTCCTCAGAGAGCATCCTAACTACCCCCAAATCAGAGAAGAAATTTTGGAAAAGGCCCAAGGGTCTCTGAGGCCCTAGGTGTGGTCAGTGGGAGCCAAGGCGGGTGGAAGCCATCAAGCTACAGATGTTTCACAGAGGGGTTGGGAAGTGGGGCAGGGGAGAAGAGATTCAGAAAATGACATATTCTTACCCATTGCTATATTGTGTGTGGTTTATTTGAATCATGCCTCATCGGGTCTAAGGGGCATCCCAAAGCTTTGTGTTTTTAAGGCACAAGAGGCAATTTTGCTCTGAGGAAGAGAGGGATCCTCCAGCCTAGCTTATGCTGGGCTCCTTGGGCACCTTCTTCCATTTTTATTCCAGACTCTGTGAGGGAGCAGAGGGCAACAAAGAGGTGGTTTAAAAAACAAGTTCCCTACCGCTATTGTCATATTATTCTGTCAATTTATAAATGCCTCCCCTCTCCTCTCTGGTCTCCAGACCCCCAGAGCTCAAGAAGCAACTGCTCCTCCCTGCCCTGCCGGCCACACCATCCTGCCCGGCTGGGGCACAGACAGGAGGACCAGCTCAGAGGGTCCCAGAGCTGAGGCTCTGTGTGAGGGAGGCCATCATCCTGCAGCTTGTGAGGGCCCTTGGCTCACTCTGTCCATAAATTCTGTCTCCCCAAGTCCTCTGCTGGTCTCTGCTGCTCCTCACTGGTTTGGGACAAACCTGATTACCCATGCCTGGTACAGGGAAATACAGCCCAAGAAAAAATAGTTCCCACTTCACATTTTCTAAAAGACACTGACAAACAAATTTATCCTCCAGAAACCCTTTTCACCCCTCGGGGGACACAAGCAGTGACCCCTATTTAGATGAATTATGTTACTTGTAACGGGCAAGAGGGTGACAGAGGTCACTTTTGCTCCAGCTCCCAACACCTCTCGTTTTTCATGATGGCAGTAATGGGCCAGTCTGGCTTAGAGGAACAAACTCTGAACTGGGAGTCAGGAGTGTGACCTTCCCAAGACCATCCGCTCTTTGGACCTCAGTGTCCCCCTCTGTGGCAGGACATTAGACTAGATGTGCGTGTTCCCAAACCATGACACAAATCCCTGCCAGTGATATACAGCAAACATTTTACAATTTAATAACTATGTGTTTAAATATCATTGTTACATAACAGAGAAAAATAACTAGTATGATGAACTCATGAATTCCTGAGTGCTGTTAACTCAGAATGGTTCTACCTTCTAAGCGTATCAATGTAATTGATGTAAAGCAAAATACTTAGTATGAGTAGAATGCAGCTATGGCAAAATTTTCAAGAGAAGTCGTCCAGTGATGAAAGTTTGGGAACTGAACAGGGAGGGGTTGCTTTTAGAACACACAGAATTGTCCTTGGTGGTGGCTGAGCCTTGTTTTTATAACATCCTGCTGATCACATGCGTGGCCTCTTGATCTGAGTCAATGACCTGGAATGCTTTCCCCAGGTTACTACCATCCTTCCTATGGGAAACCAGTCCCCTTTCCTAGCATCTGCTTTACAATCTGGTTTCTTGGGGTGGGTCGTTGAGAGACAGGTTTGTCTGTATGGAGAATGATGCTGTAAAGGATTGTACATTAATCACACTTTTATTGCTGTAAAACCTAAATTGTCTTCATTTATCTTAAAAAAAAAAAAAAAAAAAAAAAAGCCCAGGAAGCGTTCCTGTTGCCCTAGACAGGGAGTGGGCAGGTTCAGTCCAGCCATGGGCTCTGTCCATGGTTTAGGAGCCTGTGGGGGCTTCCAGCCAGGGAGCTGGAGCGGCCAGGAGCTGCCATCCAGACCCCCAGGCTAATCAGAGCAGGGCCTCAGAGCCCTTGGAGAGACCCAGATTTTGAATCACGCATGCTGAAGCAATCTCTACAAGAGGGTTCCCGGGGACCCTCGGGGGGAGGACAAACAACGGAATGTACCAGGATACTCCACCCTGACAAGCCTAAGGCCTGGCTGTCCCTGGCTAAGTTGGTTACAGGGACAGGCTGCCCACCATAGGCCAGGCTCCAAGCTATGGATCCTCTCCCAGCCATTGACCATATGGCCACGTGGCCATGTCCAGAGATAAGAGACAGATACCCAAAGAGTGACAGAACTTGCAAACAAGAGAGGATAGAACATAGAAATAGAGGCAGAAATATAAAAACAAAATGGAAGTCACAAACAAGGCTTGCATGTCCCCGGCACTCTCCTAAGTGCTGTATATATGCGAACTGAGCAAGCTTATGAGGTGAGCGGTGTTATTGTTTGCACAGTATTGAGGACACCAAGACCCAGTGGTGGTAGAGGGGACAGGACCTGCATAAGTCACCTTCTTAGGTAGTAGAAGAGCTGGGATTTGAATCTGGCACTCTGGGTCTGTGCTCGCACCCAATAAGCCACAGAGATGAAATAAGGAGAGCCCAGCACAGACCAAAAGGCAGAGAATTAGAGCCAGGTCTGGTCTCCTTGCTTGGTCCTCCCTTCCAGCCCTTTGTATAAATCATTATTCCTAAGGGGGAGGTTGACCTTGCTCCGCAGGCCCTAGTCTGAGAGTCCCCAGGGCAGGGTGTGGCCTGCTCCTCTGGCCTGCAGCCGGGCTGCTGGGGACAGGTCAGACGGGTCTGGCTGGTGCGGATGGTTGAGGTCCTGCAGCTTCCCCGTGCTCAAGTCCCCAGGGGCCTCAGCAGGGGCCTCAGCAGCTCAGCCCCACACGAGGCCTCTACCGGCCACATCTCACTGCCTGCCCCTAACTGGGGGGAGCGGGGGAGGCAGGCAGTGCGACAAGTGGGAAACAGCCCGGGCGGATAGCCAGGTCTCAGAAGACTGCCCTGCGGCTGCGCACCACCACCCCAGGAGCCCACTGGAGAGAGATGGGTTCCTGGAAAGGGAAAACTGCTCTACCTGCCAGGCAACCTCCCAGCTGGCTTCCTGGCTCCAAGGTGACAGGCCTGCATGGAAGGAGGCCCACTGCGTTGTGGCCCCCACTCCTACCCCAACATAGCCTCAGTGTCCACACTGCCCTGCGGGACCCATCTCCCCCTCCCTCCTACCTCCTGAGGGTATACCCCCCCATCTCCCAGTCCCACAAACGCAGACCACACTGTTAAAAATAGAGCCTCTTTATTGGTACCTGTAAGCTCAGGTACAAGGTGTTCCCACAAGCACGCAGGCTGGCAAGGCCTCCTGGGCAAGAAGGCAGGCCCAGAGCCTGGGCTTCTTGGCACAGACATAGAGAAAAATGAATAAATTATAGTTCTAACACTCAAGGACGATACAGAAATTAGGATGCACAACTCAGCATCAGCAAACGTAGGGCAGAAAAACCACAGGGGCCACCCCTCACTGCAGCCAACTGGCCTCAGGGCATGGGCAGGTGGCCCAGGCTGGGGCATGCAGTGCCCAGAAAGCCCCGAGACAGTAGTCAGGGGAGTGCTGGGGGCCCCGAGGCTAGCCCCTTGCCCTCTCTGGGCCCTCTCTCCTGCTTCCCTTCTACATTAGTGGGCCCAGAATAAAGGCTGTGGCCTTTGGGGAGGAAGATGATGAGGCAGAGGACAGGAAGCAGAAGGGGCTGTGTGGGGCAGAAGCAGGTTTTGGTCACAGTTGGTCAGCCCAGCCCCCCTACCTAGACGCTGTCCTCGGCCACCTGCCCGGAGCCAGGCAGCTGCCACAGTAGGACCGTAGGGCCCCAATCCACACCTGGTTTGTACCAAAGCCCAGGTAGGGCAGGACTGAAGGACTACAAGGCAGAAGGGACTCACAGGGGTCTGTGCCCCACCCCAACCCCAGCACTGCCCACCAGCCAGAGGGGAGAAGCCTACGCCTCCTAGTCTCCGAATAAATTATGGAAATAAATTATAGTCTTCACAGTCCAGAAAACACAGCCACCCATGGGTCGGGGCTCAGGGCGGCAGGAGAAACCATTAGAAGTGGCTGATTTCAGCCCCGTCTGGTTTGGGCTGAGGAACATCATACGAGACCGAAAAGGGGTCTGCAAAGCTCCAGGGGAGCCCTGTTTCCTCCCGTTCCGGGCACACACCATGGAACTGGAAGGAGAGACTGTGTGAGCTTTGGGGGATGGAGTGGGGGTCCGGGTGGCCAAAAGAGAAAGCCCCCTCCCCGCCCTCTCTTCAGCACAGAAAGTTACAAAAATAAATAAATCAATCCAGAGTGTTGCACAAAAATCAGGAGTGCCCGCATGGATGAGCCAGCCAACGGGAAACCCTTAACATACAGACCTCAGGGAGCCCCCAAATTACAACAAAGCAGCAACAGGGCTCTTGGGGCCGCGAAAAGGTACCCTGGTTGTCACACCGGCCCTGGCTCCACCAGGGGCACCGGGGCAGTGTCCTCAAACAACTGGCTGTCTATGAAGGGGGCCAGGGCCTCAGCAGCGGGGTCCGGCAGGCCCACGACGGGCTCCAGGAAGCAAGCGCCAGCGTCCCCGGGGGGAGAAAAGGCAGGCCAGGGGAAGGAGGGGGCCTCGAGGTTGTCCAGGCCGTCAGACACCGTCCGGGAGGTGTAGTGAGGCCCGAGGCTGTAGTCTGGCAGGGCCTGGAGCAGCTCGAAGGAGTCGCAGGAAGACAAGCTGAGGTCCACGGAGTTGCTCTGGCCAGCGTCCGAGCTGGGCGGCACCGAGGTGCCAGGGAGGCTGCCTTCTCCCAGCCCTTCAAGGCCACTGTTGAGGAAGAAGCTGGCATCCAGGTTGGCGTTTTCGTCCAGGATGCCTGACGTGAGGCTAGAGCTGGAATGGCCGTGGGTCCAGCTGGCCAGGCCACCAGGGTCACCAGTTCCAAAGATGTCAGCTGGGTGGAAGCAGCTGAGGTTGTCGAGGTTCCCCACCCCCCGGTCCTCCTCCTCCTCCTCCTCCTCACCGCCCAGGTCCGAGTCACTGAGACTCAGGACCCGGGCCAGGCTGTCATCATCCATGTCGGGCTGGAAGCCAGGGCCAGGCAGGGCTGGGTGGGCGGTGCTGCCCGGGGCCTCGCTCGTGCCCGATGCTGTGGAGGAGTCGGTCATGTCGCTGCTACAGCTGTTGTCTCCCAGCTCACTGCTCCCGGGGGGCTTGGCCAGCGGGAAAGCGGGGGCCAGGACCTGCTCACCAGGGCTGGCTGGGCCGCCCTGGCCTGGGGCCTCCAGCTCCCCCAGGCTCTCAGCCCCCTGCTCCAGCTGCAGGCGGGTGAGCGTGTGGAGGAAATGGGTCTGCACGCGGGCCTGATTAAATTCCACGCGGCCCTTGGGGTTCTCGCAGCCCTCCCTGCAGCAGCCGCAGGGGAACGCGGTGTGGTCCATCTGCAGAGAGAGCAGAGCATGAGCGAGGATCTCGTGGGGCCCAGAGAAGCGCCCGAGCTCAGGCTCCCCTTCCCAGCCCATACCTGGCACTTGATGCCAGCCAGACTGCAGCTGCAGGTCTCGGGGTCACAGACCCGATCACAGTGACAGCCACAGTCCTCCCGGGACTGGCGCAGAGCCTGCAGATCCCGCTTCTCCTCACGATCGATCCTCCGCACGCCGGCAGCCCGCAGCAGAGCCCGCCGTCGCCGGGCCGGGTAGGGCTGTAGGAAGGTCATCTCCTCCAAATGGCCACCAGCCACGGCCACAGCCAAGTCCTCTTCCACGGAGGCGTCATCAATGGTGTCCACTGTGAGTGGTACCCCGGTCTCTGCAAGCTGTACCCACGGGAGGGAGGAGGGATGGGAGAGACAGTCAGGGGTCTTGGCCCCCGCAGCCATCAGTCCCTGGACAAATGTTCCCCACAGGCTTCCTCTGGGCTGGGCACCATGGATACCACACTGAACCGGAAGGCCAAGAACACTGCCCTCAGGGCATTTGCAAAGAGATTTCCTGTTCCTGTCATTCCCCAGTTCGTGGACAAGCCCCCCGCCTCCCTCTGCAGCCAGCCTGACACCCCGACCCCCAATGTCACATCAACTCCCCATCCCCCGCCCCCCCCGCCCCCGTGGCGAGGTCAGATAGCTTCAGGCACCATGCCCCCAGCCCCTACAGCAAACACAGGCCCTTCCACACCCCACTCTGTCTGCAGATAATCCGGGCAACAGGCCCTGATGGAGCAATACTGGCCCCAGGGGCCTCTTTCCCCAAATACAGAATGAGCAAACTCGCCCCCACCCTGGAGGCCCCTCCCCTCAAGGCCTGGACTTCCGAAGCCCGCCAAGGGCCCGGCTGATGGAGAGAGGTCTCCCTACCTTCCACCGTAGCGCCTCCAGCTTCTCCTCCTTCAAGCGTAGGCGCAGCTTCTCACGCCGTGCCCGGGCTTGCTCCTGCGTGAACTCAGCCAGGGAGAAGCGGCGGCAGGCGCTGTGGCGAGGGGCCATACCCAGAGTGCAGCCACCACGGCTGGGCACGCTGGTGAAGCCCTGGCACCGCGGAAAGTAGAAGACGGTGATGCCATCGAAGGCGACGTGGCCCGACCGCTTCCGGGGAGCCCGCTTCAGGATGGACAGGGCTGGAAGGCACGGAGGGAAGGGGCAGGGCATTAGTTCTCTGTGAGGGACAGGATGGCAGACCTCCAGGAAGACGATGCTGAATGGCTTCTCCTCTCCTCTCGTCCCGCTCTGACCTCCCACCCAAGAGAAAAAGAAACAGATCTGAGTTTGGGAGCCAGCCTGGCTGGGATTAGAGATGGTAAAACTGAATGCCACTCCTAGGTCAACATGGGCACTTACCAGTCCAAATGAGAGCATTTGTGAGCTTAAACATCTTTCCCCTCTTTATTAGCCATTTATAGGGTCCTTATGCAATTTTCTATAGTTTTTATTGATTTGTAGGAGCTCTTTATATATGATATTAAAGACACTGATCATCTAACATATCTGTGCAAATATTTTAGTCTTATTTTTGTTCAAGGCATTTTACAAAATAACTTCTAAGGCCATGTAATTAAAAATATGTTGTTTATAGCTTTTCTTGCATTTTGCAACAGGCTTAGAAAGGCTGTTATTTGCCTTCCTAAGTTATAGACTGTATATTCATTAGTAACCTATGTATTTGGTATATTCTATACAAATATTGGTATACTATTGCTTTTAACTGAACCATAAGTAGTTACCTTAAAACAGTTGAATATTGGCAACTGCATGTATTTCAACTTAATATATTATTTTGCCTGTCCCAATCCAATACACAGAATTCTTGTTCTCTCTGCAACCTGAACTGGGTAGCACTTATTGAACAATGTTAACTAGTGGTGACAGACAGCATCCTCATCTTGTTCCTTAGTGGGACGGCTTCCAATATTTCCTCATTAATTGGAATGCCAGCTTTTGGGTCGAGACACATATTTTTAATCACTTAAGGCAGAATTCACTTATTGCTATTTTACCAAGGGTCTTATCTAGAAGGAACATGACATTTTATCAAATGTTTTTCAGCATCCACAGTGGCTCTCATATTTTCCCTCCTTTGATATCGCCATTGGGTAAACTCTAAGACTGCATTTTATAAATATCAAACCATTCTTCTATTGCCAGAATAAACCCACAGTTTAGTCAACATACTGTTCGGTTCTGTATGCTAAAAATCATTCTCTTTTTCTATGTATAATACACAGATATACATATTGGTACATAAACAGAGACACCATATCCGGGTTATTAAGATGTCACAGCAGGGATAATTAGGAAAAATATGTCTAAAAAGGCTCCTTGGGGTTGGGGGCAGCAATAATGGAAAACACAGCCGAGGAATACTGCTTTAGGGCTATCTTTGTCATTTTGAAATCAGAATGACGCCAGCTTGAAAAATAACTGGGGACGAAACCTTTCCACTATGTTCAGACAAAGCCAAATGGCATTTTGACAGGAGAGGGACCGGCCTGACAGGCCCCGCGGTGCAGAGTGTGGGGCGTGGGACTCCAGTGGTTCAGTTGGTAGGACAGGGTGTGCAAGCTGGAGAAATGAAACTGGAACATAAGGGAGGAGTTGGAGCCAGAGGGCCCCAGGGCCACTCTGAGGAGCTCCGTCTTGACCTGCAGGACTTCTAAGCAGGAAGTCCTGAGGTCGAAGGTGAATCTAGCTGGGCCCAAGTGCCTCGGGACAGTGGACATTCCCGAGTGACCACTGTATTACAGGAAGTGGCCAAGGTGGGGAGCCAAAGCTGTGGGGACATGACCTCCAGAGGCTAGAATAGCTTTGTCAGGGGCCTCCCAATTTCATCTTCAGGAAGGAAGAAGGGGTGTGGTGGTTCCCAGGGGAGGGGGACTCACGGGTGAAACTCCGGGGGCCACAGAAGTCCCGATCAGGCAAGGGCAACTGATCCCAGGGGCCCTCCTCATCGGAGTCCCAGGCCAGGGAGACTGAAGAGCTTGGAGAGCAGGAGCGAGAAGGACGGCCCGAGGAGGACAAAGAGGAGGAGGATGAGCAGAGCGAGGAGGAGTCCTCATCCAGCTGGTCAAACTTCCTCTTCAGTGGCCCAGTCATGGTGGGGCAGGCGGTACTCTGGGGTCTGCGCACAGACAGCCTGGAATGGAAAGGAGAAAGCTCTCAGTGGCAGGCCTGAGGGCAGGTGCGGCTGCTCAGCCACGACCAACTCTCCCCTTACCCTCCAAGATGTCCCAGGCCCCCCACCTTGGCTCTGCATGCGGGGGGGAGGGGGTAGGCGGGGGGGAAGCACGGCTCCAGGAGGCTTCTTTCCACAAGCAGAGCACTGAGGTCCAAACCCTGATCCTGGCACTTGCAGACTCCCACCACCTCTGCCCAAAAGCCTTCCCAGGACGCCACCAGGAACCTTCCTCACTACCTCCTACAACCCACCTACACACATGCATACACCAGACCAACAGATGGACCAGCAGACCTCAGCCGGGCCTTGCTCATTCCCCCGACAGGAATCCCGGGGGCTGACTCACTGGCTGGGTGATTCACCCGGCTCGCATCTGTGTGCCTTTGTGTGTGTGAGGCCGTCTGCCACAGGCTGCACAGCCCTGTACGGTGACTCTGCTTCCTGGTCCTCCTCCTCCTCCACCACCAACCCCAGCACACCCACAGACACACCACCCTGCGCGCGCATACACACACACTCTCTCTCTCTCCCCTTCTCTCCCTCTGTCTCTGGGGCCAGGTTGACCAGGGCACTCTGGGAAACAGGCTGGCTTCTACACTGGCCCCAATTCCCAGACACAGGACTTTCCGGAGCCCCTCCCTCCTCTCCTGTGACAGAGCCACTCAGACTTTCCCGCAGAAACCCCCGCCCCACAGAAGTCCCCTGCCTCCAGGCCCAGCTGTGCTTCATGTGTCTCTAACAACTCCTGTTTGATCTTAAAAATGCATCTACATCTTGCCTCTACTCCAATATCTAACCCTGTTTGTCTGAATTAACTTCCTATGGAAATTATTTTTTTCCTCTTAAACACACACACACACACACACAAACACAACTCTTGGTGAAACTGACCGGTCGAGAAGATGTCCCACTCTCTCCTGTTAGTAGCTTGGTGACTTGGGGGCGCCTCAGGACACACAGCTTACCGTGTTCTCCCCTTTGAGGGTCTCAGCCCTCGGACGGGGTGCAACTGGAGCCTTCCGCAGCCTGGCTGGCCTCGGCTAAGGGGAGTGGAGTTGGGGGCTCCCACCCCTAAATGCCTCCGCTATCCCTGGGAATCCCCAAAGGACTCAGTCCTAAGGGCTGAGCTACCTTGTCTCTCTGTGTCCTACAGGGCTCAGGCCTGGGCCCCAGAAGGTCACCAGGAAGAAGGGGAAACGGTGCAGAGGCCCTAGTGCTGGGGAGCCCCTCCCCCACTGTCATCACAGGAAATGAGAACAGGAAAAACCAACCAGAAGGCTGGCGATCTCCTCTACTCAGGTATCCTTTCTAAACACTCCTGACCCCCTTTGCCAAGCCTAGCCCAAAGTCTCTGGATCCTAGAGGGTGCGGCGGTCAGTGGACTTACTGGATAAAATTCGGCCTAAGCACAACCTCTCCCCACAGGCAAGAGAGAAGCAAGAGAAACTCCCCTCCTTGCTAGCCCTTCACACTGGGCCAGGGGAAGAGAACGCACAGGTGCTTCCGGGGACTTCTCAGTGGGTAGTTTCTCAGGCTTGGCACCCGCAGCCCCCCTTCCCCCCGCAAACCACAAACAAAAACAACCCAGCTCCCAGCTGACCTGCACGCTCTCCTAGGAGATGGGGGGACTCATGACCCAGAGCCAGGCGCACACACGTATGCGCACGTGCAGACCACAGAGACTCACACAAACACACTCCGGCAAAGCACACCCCCATACCCTGCCCCTACCAGCCCCCCCAGGAGACCCCATCCTATCCCAAACTGCAGATGCTGTCCACAGGGTGCTCAATGCAATCACACACCCAAGCCCAAGGCCCACCCCCACCAAAACCAAATGCCCACTTTGTCTCTCTGCCTGGCCGTCCCTTAGAAACATAAAATTCCACAGGCCCCAAATCGAACCCCCTGTCTCTGTTCCCCACCCCCCGTGCCATCTGTTCCTCTTCCTGTGTCCCCTATCTTAGTAACGGCACTGCCACCCACCCAGTTACTCAAGCCAGAAACCTGCAGCCATCCTCAACTCCTTCCTCCCTCTCCCTCCAGCCACATCCAGGCACCCAGTCCTGCAAGTACACGCTAGCCCACTTAATGCACACAAGGCCGGGCAGAGGTACAGTGGGGCTGGGGAGGCCATCAGCACAGTGGTAAGAACCTTGGCCCCCAAACCAGACTGCCCGCATTGGAACCCTGGCTTGGCTATTACGCGGCTGCGTGACCCTGGCCAAGGTCCTCAAGCCCTCGGTGTCTCCAATTCTTTGTCTTAAAACCTTACAGGGTTGGGACGTTTATAGGCATCAATACATGTCAAGTTCTTAGGACAGTGATACGTGCTGAGTGAACATGTCATTCTACACTGTGAGAAAAAGGAGCTCCTGGATACAACATGTGAATCTCAGGGATGTCATGTGGAATGAAAGAAGCCAGACACAAGAATACATGTGAATGAAGTTCAAGGAAAAGCAACCCCAATCAGTGATGATACAAGTCAGAATGGGAGGGAAGGGTGTTTGATATGCACTGGGGACAATCATGGGGGAAGCTTCTGGGCAGGTGGGTTCCTTAAAATGTCCTGTGTTGATCTGGCTGGTGGTGGTTCCATGAATGTCTAAAACTAAAAATTCTCCTAGCTGTACACACACAATTCATATGTTTTATGCATTTCAGGTATGGCTCCTTCAACTTTTATTACTTTATGTCTCTGTTCCCCCTGCTACTGTCCATGTTCCCTGCCTCTGCTCCTGCCCTCCCCCTGCAGCCACAGTGATCTTCCTGAAGATCTCTGCCTGCCACCCCCATGCTTAGGAAAGCTGGCCCTTAGGATCAAGCCTAGAATTCCACGAGAGGCTGAAGCCGGCCTGGCTGCTGCCTCCCCCCACCCCCTCCTTCACTATGTTCCAGCTGAACTTGCAGTTCCCCGAATTGCCATGACCTGCCCGCCTCCTGGCCTTTGCACAAGCTGGAACCCAGCCTACTCTCCTTTAGTAGTCATTTCCAAGAGGGCCTCCCTGAAACCCCCACTCCTCACTCCTGACTACATGCCTCTCTGGGCTCCCAAGGGCCCTGGGATTCCCCTATCCCCGCCCTTCTCTCGAAGTCTTGCCTCGGCCTCACTGCCGCTCCCCCCAACACCAGGCTGAGGGCCTCTCCGCCTGGCCATCCCTGTACCCATGCCTAGAACAGTCTGGCACACAGAAGGCACCTAAAGACCAGCAGAGGTGGGCCTCTGGGGGGTGACTGCTCAGGGCGACCTCCTGATCCTGTCACAGTTAGTGGGGGGGGGGGGCATTTCCACCCCCAGCCTGCCTGCCTTCGAGCCACAGGAGGGGGTGGCTCTGAGGGTAGGAAGCTCAGGCCGCAGTCAGGTGCCAACATAGGCATCTCAGGAGGCTCCCTGTTCCCCAGAAGTAAACAAATAGATATCAAGCAAGCAGATTTAAGCCAGACACCCTGGCTCTGCCTCGGGCATGTCTACAGAATGGGAATTTAAAGTGTAGGCATTATAAGCTTCAAGGCTGCAGACAGGAAAACGGGGACACACAGAAGCTGCAGGTTCTAGTGATGAACCCCCAGCAGGATCTGCGGACCTAGAGTGTGGTGAGAACCGATCTCTTCCCTGACACTCCTCTGGGGTGGAGGGGGAAGGAGCAGTCCTTGGATCTTGTGCTTTCCTGTCCCACCTGGGAATCCAGAGGCTGAGAGAGGCAGAGGCAGGAGATGAGAAAAAGACTCAGCCAGAGACAAGGACAGGCCAAGTCAGAAAAAGGAACGAAAGATAGTGAAAGAGTCCAAGAAAAGTGTCAGACAGTGAGTCAGAGGAGGGGGGAGGGGCCCTCAGCAGCTACCCAGGAATCAAGATCCCAACCATGGCTCTGTTCCCAGGGTGAACACAGCCCCCTCCTAGGGTCCTGGAGGAAGGAAAAGCAATTCCCAGGAGCTGGCTCAGACAGAAATGCCACACCCCCGAGGAGCCCCAGACACAGGCCCTGAATCAAAGACAGCCAGGCTTCTTCTGGGATCTGCCTGGGCCCTGAGAATCAGGCCACCCCCCTGTCACCACACACAGGAGTTGGACAGCTCAGGATGAAGGGGTGAGACTCCCCACTCTACTACTCACAACTGTCTACACACTCAGGCCACAGTGTGAATCCCAGGAAGGCCACCTCACCCCCGGCACCAGGCAAACAAAGGCTCTTTGGGGGCCAGGGAGATATCTCAGGGCCTCTGGGAAGTCACATCAATTCCTCTGTTCAGCTCAGCAATCCCAATGCCCCAGCTCCCCAGCAGAGCTGATACTGGGGAGAGGGCACCTTCAGCTGTCTCCATCCTCCTCCTCCGGGAATCTGAAGAATGTGTCCTTTAACCTCAGATCCCCAGGCCTTGGTCAGGCCAGCTCCCCCCAACACATGACCCCAGACTCTCAGGAACTACTTCCTGGTACAAGGAAAAGACACCTCTGAGTACCTCTGGCCCCCACTGGGATTGGCTAGAAAAACAACCTGGGCAGCACAGAGAGGGGAGACAGGAAGCCTTAGCACACCCATCCCCCCATCCCTCTGAAAGTGCTCCCCCAGGAGGGCACAGTTCCTCAGCCTTGGCCTCCAGGGTGACCAAATGTTGGCTGGCTACAGGTCAACTGCTCCTGCCGAAGGGAAACTGCACCTGACAGCAACTGCTTCCTCCACCTAAGCAAGGCCTCCTTCATTCTCATTCATTCATTCATTCATTCACTCATTCATTCAACAAATACTGAGCTCCTATGGCATGCCAAGTACTGTGTTAGGCACTTGGGCAGACAGGGAGCAAGACCCACACTAGGGCTGCACTCTTGCAGCTTTTGAATTTAGGGGCAAGGAGTATGTAGTTACAAAACCATCGTGAGTGCTGGGATGGCAGGCCGGAGGGGTGGGACAGGAGGGGGAAAGCTGAGGGTAAAAACAATCTCTAGGAGGAAGGGAGGTAGAAAGTTCCAGAGGGGGCACAGCATGAGAGAGAGCCAGAATGATGAGGGGGAGGGGTGTCCTGGGACAGGTTTCGAGAGCCAGGGCTGACAGGCAGGCTTTAGCCTGAGGGCACTGGAAGCCACAGTAGGGTTTAAGTAGGGAGTGACAATACCAGATTTGCATTTTAAAAAGATGGCTCAGTCCCTGACCCGAGGGGGGGTGTGACTAGTTGGCCCCGTGCCAGGGATAGATGAGCGATGACAGGACAGGGAGGGCAAAGGAGAAAGGGGAATAGACTCGGGGACCTCTGGATGTGGAGCTGGAAGAGGGCAGTGATGTCAAGGATTTGGAGGCTGGCGGTGGAGGCCTGCTCCAGAGGACTGGGAGACATCTGAGTGGAGGTGTGGGGTGGGCAGTGGAGCCGGGAGGCCTCCTCCAGTGTCAGGAGTGTAGGCTATGCGTGTGACTGTGCCGGAGAGCCGGAGTGACTAAGTGTGTGACGGCTGCTGTGGGGACATCCAAAGGTGCGTGCCTGTGGAAGGGCCCCCGGGGAGGGGAAACGGAGGACCGGGAGGAAGTACATGCTGGAGAGGGGAGAAGTGCGTGGGAGAGAGGCTACGTGTGCCCGCGGGTGTCCGGTGGGGCTGCGCTCGTGACTCACAGCGGTGGCCTCTGCGTGTGACGGTGACTGACAAACAGGTGAGCGTACGACACAATCCCTCCTCCCCCCCCCCCCTCCTGCCGGGGTCCGTGACTCACGGAGCCTCACTCCTCCTCGCTCTTCTCTCCACTCCCTCCCTGACCCCCGCCGGCCGGGGGCGCCAGGCACGCGCCGCAGTCCCGGCGCCCGCCCCCGGGGGAGGGGGAGAGCCCGAGGAGGAAGGCGACAAATGTCACCTGCTCCGGCCACGCGAGGAACTTCTGAAAAGTTCTCAGGCAACTGGGTCAAAAGGAAACTCTCCCGTGGACGCGCGCACCCCGTCACCCCGCCACTCGCGCCAACCTCCGCTCGGCCGCCACCCGCAGCGGGCTCGGGGCGCCGCGACTTCTCGGGGTACAAGCGGCGGCGCGGGGGAGGGGAGCGGAAAACCTGCCACTCTCGCCTCTCCGCCTCCCCTCCCCGGAGGCCGGCCGGGCGCGCAGTCTGGGGCCGAGCCGGGCGGTCCGCGCCCCGGCTCCCGCTCAGGGGGGCTGGGGGCAAGTGGCAGGGACCGGAGGGGCGCAGCCCCCCGCGCGGGACGCCCCTCCCCAAGGTCCCGGCCCGCAGCCCCTCGGCGCTCACCTGCGATCCGGGAGCTCGCCCAGGACACCGACGCGACTCGCGTCCCGGCCGGGGACGCCCCCCGCGCCGCGACCCCGTGTGCGCTCAGCCGGGCAGCCGTCGGCCCAGCCGCCCCTCTAGCTCTGCGCGTCCGGCAGCGGCGGCGGCGGCGGGAGACTGGCTGCGCCCGGCCCCGCCCGCCGCTCCGCCCTCCTCGTCAGTGGAAAACTCCGGGGCTCGCAGCGCTGACGCACGCCCGGCCTCCCGCCAGGCCGCCCGGCAGCCCCGCCCCGGAGGCGCCGCCTCCCCCCGCCCCGGGCCCGGCGTAGCGGCCGCGGGGCCTCCCTGCGGACTCTGACCCCGCGCGGGCGCCGCGACCGCCCTGCGCCCCGGGTCGCCCTCGCCCGTCCCTCTCCCGCAGTTTCTTGAAGTCGCCGACGCTCCAGCCGGCAGAGCAGGGTCCCAAAGAACCCCACCTC